TCTAGTCTTGCACTGTTAAATTAGGGACGGCTAGCGCAGATAGCTCTCTTGTAGCTGTGCGCGAAATTCAAAACAAACCATTGTTTATGTAACTTGAAGAACATTAAAATCCGATAAATGTGCCTGATGACGTTTTATTCGTCATTTCCTTCATGCTTATATTTCCTGCTATATTTGCCTATTTTTACTGTTCGTTACACAGATATAAGTAAATTAGTAACATAAACCGAGCTCTTTGGAGACCAAAGCACATCCAGTTAATCAGAATGTTACAGCAAAATTTTAATGTTATTATAACTCATAGAAGTTAAATTTATAATTTTTAGGTACAATATCTTCAATGCTTTTTTTTTCTCTGAAAAATAAAGTTTTTTTTTATTCGAATATAACTCATGTCACTGTAAGCAACTAATTTGTCAAAAATCACTTAATGTTTCTACATTTCATGGTTCAATTCTCCATGGTGGACATAGCAGCTAGTCCAATATGGCTTTACTACAACACAAATATACAAATTGTCTCGTAAATTGGTATGATGACATATTTTAGTGTAGTTGGGAAACGAATTATTCCTCCACAGAAGACAGGCCTCATCCAGTTATTCTTGATCTTTCGTTCTCGTGGTGTAATCCCAGTACAATTTCAATGGATAACTGGCCACAGAGAGCTGATCAGATGCTTCATGGATCACTTCCAATATAGAACAAAAACCGTTCGCTAGAGAGGGTATAAACGGGCCGAGAAACGTAACGTTAATTCCACGCAAACTCTACATACCAATAGCGAAACTACATCCTAAATTCAAGTTTCACACGAACTTTACTTTTATGACAGACCAGCAGAATCAAGCACCAACATGATGGGAGAACAAAATGATGAACCAGCAAACACAAACATCAGCCATAAGAAGGAAATAATGACAGATTAGCAAGAACAACACCAGACATACGGAAGAAAATAATGACAGATTAGCAAGAACAAACAACAGCCATATGGAAGATAAGAATGACAGATTAGCAAGAACAAACAACAGCCACATGGAAGATAAGAATGACAGATTAGCAAGAACAAACACCAGCCATATGGAAGATAAGAATGACAGATTAGCAAGAACAAACACCAGCCATATGGAAGATAAGAATGACAGATTAGCAAGAACAAACACCAGCCATATGGAAGATAAGAATGACAGATTAGCAAGAACAAACACCAGCCATATGGAAGATAAGATTGACAGATGAGCAAGAACAAACACCAGTCACATGGAAGTTAAGAATGACAAATTAGCAAGAACAAACAACAGCCACATGGAAGATAAGAATGACAGATGAGCAAGAACAAACACCAGCCACATGGAAGTTAAGAATGACAAATTAGCAAGAACAAACACCAGCCATATGGAAGATAAGAATGACAGATGAGCAAGAACAAACAACAGCCACATGGAAGATAAGAATGACAGATTAGCAAGAACAAACACCAGCCATATGGAAGATAAGAATGACAGATTAGCAAGAACAAACACCAGCCATATGGAAGATAAGAATGACAGATTAGCAAGAACAAACACCAGCCA